TTATTATTATTATTACTGTTGCTTTAAAATTTTCTTATTTTTTTCTTTCGTTCGTTGGTTTGAGTCTGGCTGATGAATCCAACGCGAGAGGCATACACTAGAGAACAGTATGGGGACGAGGGAAGGTGGTTGCTCTTGAAGTAGACATTGGGGCTTTTCGCCGCTCCTCCGCGGTGGTCAGATGGTCAGAATCATGGTGGAATGCGTCGGGGCTTTTGCGATATATGTTGGTTTGTGCACGCCATGCAAGTCTGAGGCCTGTCTTTACTGTAATGATTGAAGTCTTTTGGAGCGATATCACAGAACCTCTGGTGTTCCTTGACACAGCCTTTGTATATAATGATACAGTACTACTGTCGAAAAAAGTTTTACCAGACGGCCACGGTTGCTTTATACATGTGGACGTCATTGACAATGGCATCATAATTGTTTTGTTTTGTTTTTTCAGTAAGGGGAAGTGGAGAGTGGTCCGTTTATATAGGTGAATGTATTAGACAGTTTATAACCGTAAAGGCAGTCTCGACTGTATTTCTTTAAAGACCTACAGTGTGTTCTATGGTCCTCTGTGAGTACGCCGTAGAAAATCTGGGGTGGCATTCTTTCGGCCTCAGTGCCGATGACGTGGCTGGTTACTCTGAGCCTGGCCATGATTATTATGGCCACAAAGCAGGTCAGCCCCACACGGTCAAGCACTTCCAGGTCTATCACTACGCCCTGCACTAGATACCTATGGTTGAACACAAGAATAGTGTGTGAAACTTCTAAAGTTGCCTAATGTGTCTGTCATACAGCCTACTGCCTACGTCTCACAGCCAATTAAAATGATTACAAGATCTATGGCATTGTGTGCTTCAATATTGGTACTTAGCTGGATGTTTTGGTTGTTTGATTACACCGTGTTTCGTCTTTGGAAAATCGTATTCTGTGTTTAGAATGGGGTTATACTTCATCAAAAATGTACCTCAATAAGATTTTACGAACAAACGCCTGACGTTCACGAACAACAAGTTTCTATTTTTCTACCCAGTCTCGGGAGAATTCTTGGCATCAAATGGCAGGATTAAAATACCAGACACCGAAGTTCTGAAAATGGCAAATGCCGAGAGTCTGTTAACTGAGTCCAAAAGCACTCAACTTCGCCGGACTGGCCATGTCGTAAGAATGTCTGATTTCAGAATCCCAAAGGTAGTATTCTATTCTGAGCTGTCCTCAGGGAAGCGTAAGGCTCGTGAACCAAAAAAGCGCTATAAAGACACTCTGAAAATGTCTCTGAAGGAGATAGATACTTCGACATGGGAGAACCTAGCTCCTGACAGACCCAGTTGTTGAGTAGCAGTCACAGTGGGCAGCAAATGATAACATGAAGTTTCACGAACAAGAAATGCTGAAACCAAAAGAGAAGCCTGCAAGCTGCACACATCCACAGTGGAAGTGAAGCTTTTACATGTTCAAAATGTAGAAAATTTTTCTTTGCTAGAATTGGTCTCATTGGACACAACAGAAGCCATAAGATGTCTTAACCTGTAATTCTTCAAATTCTTCTCTTTCACTGAAACAATATTCTCCTATGCGGATATATTTGTCATCGTCATACATTGACAGACGAGCTATTATTACACTAAAATATGGTATCCTGCACAGAATAAAAATTTGCAAGTTTGATTCCCTGCTCCGTCGGGTAGAACTTTTTATCTTTAGAAAAGGTGCTTTACGCTTTTTTCCTGGTTCACCTGGCTGTTAACAGGTAGGTAAAATAGGTCTACTTGGCGATTGACAGACGTGGAATATGTGAATAATGATGGAATGTTCCCAAACGCTACAATGTCGTATGTCCCCCAGGGGACCGAAACGGGTAACGCAATTAAACAGACAAGATAGACTATTGAACTAATTGAAGTCTTTGCGAATTCTTGTGAACGTTCAGGGAGATTGGGACCGCTCTAATTAGTGCACTTAATTGAGCTTTAACTTTTTAATGTTCCAATTATTATTTGAATTTTAAAAGTATGAATATGATCTTCATTACGTCAAATATTCCCGTTTTTGTTTTTGAAGATTAGAAACATGGATTCTTGAATCTTGCAAGGTAATTGTTGATTAACGACTTAAAAGGAGAATTGTCTATTTAAATGTCGATCGTGATGAGATTTTTAAAGAAAAGCAAAGGATACAAGGAATGTGTATGGTTGTAATTACCATGTTATTACACACAGCTCTTTATTTGTGTATTTGTCACGTTAGCATAGACTATCAATTGAACAGATTGCTTTGGATTTGAAAGAAATGCAGAATCTAGACATATCGAAGAACAAGCTATCAAATATGACCTTGAAGGAACATCTGAATACTCACAGTTCTGCCTCCCCGAAACTTTGGGCAATTTTCTTTACTTTGTAGAAGACATCAAGGAAAAAAGTCAATCTGATATCACGACGTGTTTTGTTTGTTTGATTGCTTGTTTGTTTATTTATTTTATGTGTTTGTTTTGTTTTCTTTCTTGCTGGTTTGTTTTTTTTGCGACATTATGGGCTTTTATCATATTATTAGCAGGGGCGAAGCGTCTATATAATCAAATAATCACTGCTTCCCTTCCTGATTTCGAAACATTGTCGCTGTTAAATTCATTCTTAAACGTAAACCTCTTAAATTAAATGTAAAAAGATGTTCGTAATCAACAATGAACAGTATGCCTAACATTCAAAACGGTTTCACGGCCACAGAAATAGCCTCCTCACCCCTCTCGGGCCACTCCATAAGCAGTCGCAAGCTTTGATTAAGTAAGCTTAAAGTAAGGCTGGAAGAGTCTACCAATAGAATTGAAGGGAACATGTGCATAGCAGTCAAAGCTGTTTCATTGCCACATATACCCTGTTCACCCCTTTGGGGCCTCAGTTAAAATCAATCACAAGCCCTGATTAAGTAAGCTAACTTACACTGGTCGAGTCTACCTCACAAACGTAGGGGAACCAACTCCTAATAATCTATTGACTGTTCCACGTGCTTGTTTTTTTCCCTCCATTTTTTACCGTCCTATAATCAGGTCGTGACCTCGATTATGACACC